AAAGTGTTCCTATGTGGAATGAAGTTTCGAACTCATTGAAATTAAGTTGACTTCATGATTCAGATTTTATTAAAAGAAATGTTTAATATCTCTTTACAAGGATGAAAGGGGAATGCATTTATGAATTTTAAAAGATTAAAAGCCAAACACTTAGAGATGTAATTTTAAAAATTTACCACAATGTGGCATATCTATTCACTGAGATTTTAATCGCTAGCTGGCACATAGAGATATAAAAGAGGCTTTGTGAAAAAGACCAGGGCAATGAAATGAAAGATTCAGGAGATGCATGTGACATCAACTGGTTTACTGATGTTCTCACCTGAATTCAATCTGGAAAGAGAACTCTGCGCACATCTGTTTTATCTTCTCACACTTGAATTAGAACATAAAATTTAATTATTTTCAGGCAGGTTAGGGAGTAAATTAAATGAATGAATTTATATTACATATAAAGAAACCCCTTACCATAAAAATAAAGCAGAAGCATATTACCTACGTGTCTGAGCTCAAATTTCCAGGACCGCGTTTAATTACACGATCACAGCTCGGACGCGTCTTGCAAAATGTGGTGGACTATCAATTTCAGAGATTGATTCTTCAGTTTTCAGCATAAGGGAAAAATCATCGTATCGCGAGATGTTGAGCGAAGAGAGAGTGGCTCCATGTTTTGTGAGACAAACTATTTCTTGAAGTTCGAACGAACCGAGTAAAAAGCATAACAACATAGCGCTGAAAAGAACCACGGCCAAACAATGAAATTCACTCCTTCCGCAATAGGATTACCACCATTTTACCCGTGAGCTGGTTTGCACCATATATGTGCGCACGGTAATTTAATTCTCAGAAGTTTAAGGGGTTCTCACCTGACAAAATCAAAGTACCGCGTCAGATTCAATGTAAACATGAACATCGCGGATTCAATCTCATTTTATTTCAATTTTCATAAAGGCCATTACTTCGTTCTTAGGGTAAAACAACACTTCTTCGACAAAGTGCGATTGTTTTAAATGAATCAAGTAAATCTTGCGACTGAAGAGAGAAAGAGGTAGAAACTTGGGCTCGCCCTTCGCTATTATTTGAAAACTTTCTAGGCAAAACAAAATCCTGAAGGTGACTTCTTTTCCCCTAACACCACGACAGTATTAAAAATTCCAAACGACAGGACCAGGAATACCTTCAAGAATAGTGAACACTGAAATGTTATTCGAGCGATAAACTGGCGCGTGGGTTTTTAGGCCATGAATGCCGAAGTCATTGTTTTACCGATACGTGATTTTCGTTATAAACTGAAGCTAGTATCAAACGGGGATTGGTAAAAAAAGGATTGAATTTTTCTGGTACTTAGCGTAAGAGAAAACCCAGGTAAGGCACGACTGACTTAGCACCTCTTCTTTCTCGAATCCTTTTGGTTCGCTTCTCTTTGTTGATGACCTCTTTTCAGTCTGTTTTCAGGAGCGTTGTTGTATTTCTTTCTCGCGTTGCTTTTCGCTAGACATTCGCCTTTTTACTTATGCCTTTTCTTGTTCCCCCTCGCGTTCCTCTCGCCGTGTTCTGCCTATTTTGGTGTCCTCTCTAACTTTCTTGTGCGTTTTTCTCAACTCGCCTTACGCCTTTTACTTCTTGTTTTTTATTGGTCGCTCTGTCTCTTTCTTTTCAGCCTATTTTCACTCGAAACCCTCTCTCCACAAAGCGTTAGCTCTGCTGGTATTGTTGCTTTGCGAGTTGATTAGAAATTACAGAATACTGAGAATCACTGTCCAACTACAACCTCACCAGCTTGATTTCCAGCTCAAAACCCGGGTTGCAAATTATTTGCTTACGCGGCTTCACATCCGCATAACACAAGGGCTTCACGTGGGCTAATAGTATTAGCCCACGTGAAGCCCTTGCGTAATGCCTTACAGTGTGCCCGTGATACGCTGCACTGAAGCTCGACACTCGACTCTCGAGTATGCGCACTTCAATGTCATCTGTGTCCGGTGTCTCCGCTTTGACCAGGTCAATCTTAATAGTCACAAAGGTAACAATTATGGTTCGAGCTATCTGCACCCAGCACACATGCAGCTTGATCCGCCATCTGACACACAGGAAATTCAAACGAACACGAAGGCGATTTTAGCAAAAACTCTAAGTTCGTGTGTTTTTGAGTCCGTTTAACTTTTATCGCAAATAAATTCGAATACTCAGTATTTAAATTTAGTCGTTTTTCCCGGTGTTGAATGCCCAGGGGCGCAATAAGGCCCATCCTAGAACAGGTAGCAAAGAAAGTGAAGATTCTAAAGTACGAAAACAACGACCTGCAAACCAGATGACTCTTAGACCGAACCAATAGATGTAACATGTTTAATTTTGACATCTTGAGCCCTAGCACGTGCATCAGTTACAGGTTTTGCAAATGTTGCGTAGACAGTTACATTTCCGCGATAAATTTCAGCCGCAAAGGATGCCGTTGTTTATCCAATTACTTAGAGGATGGAGACGATCCAGCGGGGTTTTATGGCCTATGGCGTTCAGACATCGATGAATTGTTATACGGGGTTGTTTTCTAGAGCAGACTTGTACGTTTTAAGCGTTAAAAAAAACATTTCTCCAGAAAAATAGTGAGCCGTTAACGAATAGATTCATACAAAAACAGGATCAATCTTTACATCCGTTTTTCGGAAAGGGGGCTATTTGCTTTATTTTCTAAAAGGTAAATGTCCTACAGAAATAAAGAATTTTAATTTGAATCAGGTTTGTGTGCACGCTATCATTACCTCAGATACGTGATGAATATTGGAAATATTTCAATATTCTTTGACATTTCTGAATTAGAAGGCGTCTAAAACTTTCCATGTCAGGCTTTTGTCTGTTAAACAATTGTTAAGTTTGATGCTGCCTTTACAATGGGTCACAGTTATCAAATTCGTGGAAAAGTATAAAAATTCCTGGCTTCGCGTGTCTTCGTTTTCGTTTTCGTTTTCTGGGTTCTTTGGTCTCCGGTCTTCGATCTTTGTTTTCGATGTCCTTCCAGAATCATCTCATTTCACCTTACCTGCAACTGCACGTTTAAATAGAAAACCTGTGTCAGGAAAAACGACGCATTCAAGGCAAATACTGCAATTGTGCAAGTCAAACCGTCAGAATAATCTAAATTTCCCTCCTGAAACGTATCTCTGTTCAAGATTGACATGTCAAATTTTAGGCTGAACATATGAATCCCAAGTAAAAGAGATCGTGCCAGAGAAAATGCGTTCTCGTTAAGTCATAAATTAAAAATTATTACTTCACAGAAAGTGGCCTCGAGGTATCCATTTTTTGCGTCGAAAATGCGGTTTCTTACGCAATTGGTAGATTTCTGTGGCGTGTTTATGAAGGCTCATTGTTGGAGCATGGGTTTACCTGTAGTTTCACAACCCACGCTGCGTCATTAGGTTTCTCACCTGGCTCGAAATTCATTCCTTCGCGTGCTTAAGTCGCTACGGTTATCCCTAATTGTCAAAGAGATTCTGTGATCCCTCTTTGAGCTAACGAGAAAAACGTGTTTGGTTTCTGAAGCTTTCTTAGCTTAGGAGGTTAGTATACTACTAAAATGGCGAGAAGATCATGTGTCTTTCAAACACCTTTCAGTGTACAAACTGGAGGAATGACATCATTTTATTCTAGTTAATTCTATACCCTTTTATCTGATGCAGTTCAATTTAAACTCCGCGTATTTCGCTTTTTGGACGAACATATCGACATATTCCTGGTTATAAAGTCTCATGGAGAACCTTTTTCGCCAGTATAACTAAGAGGCCTCAAAAGTAGAAACATACTAAATATTAGTCTGCATGGTTTTTTAAGCTGTAGATTTCTGAGGCAAGTATCTTTCTACTGAACTCAAGGGCGAATTCATAAAGGACACCTAAAATTAGTGATGTTGCGTGTGCACTTATCGAACGTGTTTAGACCAAGAGGCTTAAACAATTTTACTACTCATTGTATATGCTAGAGATGGGAAAATTCGTTCACAAAGCCGTTACGTAACTGGGTTTAGCGATTTTTTGTTCACAAAAAAGCGTTGAAAAACCTGTTCCTTCCCTATTTATAAGCCTCATCTGGTGAAAAACTCGATTTTTTGACAGCATATCCTGTAGCTTTACTAGCAATAGAGCCTGGAGCGTGTCAAAAAAAAAAATAATAATAATAATAACGCAGTGTATTTGGTAACAAAGGCTGCGTGAGGGAGCTACCATTGCTTGTCGTTGTTTATTTATGCTCCAAACGTGCCTTTTACATACGTTTTATATTGATTGAAAATGCTAACTGGCCTTGAAAGCGTTTGTTTTACGCAAAAGTGTTCCCATTTACGCGATTGCGGCTGGATGCGATTGTCATTGCGACTGATACAAAGGCACAAAATCATCACTGAGCAGTTTGATATCCAAGTGATTGCCATGATCTATGCTCAAATTTTCCGGCCATCGAGGCGATTGTAGCGATCGCAACAATTATGTGAAAACCAGAATCAATCGTTTGTGTCTTAGCAATCTGATCCTACGAGCGGAAATTGTTGCAAATTCGACTGATAACGCAATGCGCATTTTCAAATATGATTTTGGTTGATAAAGCTTTGTATCCATTGTGACTCAGTACAACAGTCTCTTTAATGTTGCACGTGCGTGGCGTTTTCCTTTTTTTTATTGTCACACGCGTGTGTTGTTTACACTTTTTCAATAACTTGTCTAACGCGTAGCTGCTAGTTTAAGTTATTTAAGCTAGTTTTTCGTTCTAGCTGTTCAAGGAAATGAGTTTTCTTCATCATAAGTTCATTGAGGGTTTTCTTTTACGATCGAAAGCTTTCTTTGTAAGTAATGTTCAACGCGGGCTTTAGATATTTCGAGAAAGTTCTTTAATATCACGCAAGAGTACGGGTAGGTGTGGAGACATCCGAACATACAAAAGCTAGTTAATCTTGTTGACGAATTCAAATGACACAAGTTTTTTTTTTTTTTTTTTTTTTAAAGCTAGTTTATAAGAAGTTTGGCTTAGTGCCGAAGATCAATTAAGCTAGTGACTAAAGCAGCGCCAAGTTTTCTTGGATCGAGTTAATAAAGCATCAGTTCTGAGAACGTTTTATACATTTGAGTAACGGGAGCAATAGTAAGAACTATCAAAATATGTACAAGGACGAATAGTTTAGTCTCCTTCGGCATACGTTAAGCTTGAAATTTTCTATTCCTACAATTTTGTGTACTAGCTGAATCATGAGGACCCTGTATTGCCTTCAAGTGGCATATCTAGTGCTGATATTGCATCAGATATTCTCCAGTATGGAACTGAGTGGAGCTACCTGTCAAAAGTTCAAATTCGTTGTCGGTGAAGATGTTGTCTTCAACTACATTCTGGAAGATCACGTTTTTCAAAGAGTAACTGTCCTCAGTGCCACCCAATGTCACGTAAGGTGCAAAGATAACTGCTTGTGCGTATCCATGAATTACTTTCCTCAGTCCAAAGAAAACAACTGCGAGCTTAATGACGCAAACAGAGAGATGGTGCCAGCGGCAATAAAATGGAGACCAGGAGGAAATTACTATGATTTGGTGAGAAGTTACACGGTGAAGGTGAGCTACGACATATCGTTATGATAGTAATCCTTTCTTTCTCTGAGGTTTTATTTTTGTTGTTGTTCCTTTTTAAATCCATTTGTGTAATTCAATTTTAATTTGTCCTAATAAAGCCTGCGGTTATCACTTAAATTCCCTTTAAAATTACAAAAAGAAAATAAAGATGAAATCTCAGGCGATTCCTTCCTTTGATGATAAGACCCAACCTGGTGGGTTTCTTTCTAGGAAAATGTCTGACACACAAAAAGTATCTATTGCTTTAAGGTGGAGACAAATACATTCCAGGAAAACATCACTGTGTAAACAGATGTTGCCACTCCAATCCTTGTCTGAATGGAGGGGTGTGTCAGGAGCTATGTGACACTTTCAGTCCCAGGTTTAACTGTACCTGTCCTGGCTCATATTCTGGTCAGCGATGCGAAAAGATGAAACGGCCAAGGAGTTGCAAGGACATTGCTAGCAACGGTGCCTCGATATCCGGGAAGTACGACATATTTAATTCTGCAAACGAATCTATTCCCGTTCATTGTGATTTGAAATCGGAAGTTGGCTTTAAATGGGCCTTGATCCAGTCGTTTTCCTTAGCTAACAAAGATACATTCAAGAGAGTAGATTTCGGCCGAGATTATTCCGTGAATGAAACTAAAAGTAAAATAGACTGGAATTCATACCGCCTGTCCTTGTCTTGGATGCAGTCCCTCGCCGATCACTCGACACATCTGCGAACGACCTGTAACTTCGTCAAGGATGGTCTCCAGTACACGGATTACGCACGCGCTAAGCTGGTAGATCAGGACATATTTGGTAGATGGGACTCAGTGTGCAGAATGTATGAGTACATAAATATCCGTGGAAATAACTGCTCCGATTGCACTGCGATGACGAAACAAAATTACAACGAACCTTGGACCATAAAGAGTCGCTCTAAGGACTGTACATTTGATGGATATTCAGGCTCAACACAAAACGAAAACAATTTTGGACGGTATCATGACGGGGGTGTAAACATCAATCACCGCTGCACATCTTCCCCTGCTTCAACTACGCAGCATTGGTTTGGAGCTAAACACAATTCATAACATTACTTTAGTTTGTAATGCAGGAGTTTGGTGAGTTAAGTGAAATAGGTGTTGATTGATCGTTTCATCTTTTTTTCGCCATAGTTTTTATGGGATAATCTGGGAATTGTATATTCTCCTTCTCTGAAATTATTATCAAGTTGGTTGGTTGGAACAGAGTATCTTAAGTTTCAATTTCATGTGCAAAATTTTGTGTTTACTTCTTATTCTCCCAATGAGCCAATATGGTGGAACAGTAGAGACGTAGTGAATAGAGCGCTCGCCTCTCGTCGCCATAAATAAGTATCCATTCCTGGACCTGCTGTCGTAACATTTAAGTCTTGTTTGCCTGCATCGTGTTTCTTGATGATCAATCTTGTAAAAAGAAAATTGTGTTCCCCTCGTTGCTGATCGGTCTTTACGAAATGTGTAGCATAATTCTTAAGTAACGCTTTCGATGACGTAACCTTAAATGTGGCAGTTGCAGTGTAAGTATGTAAGTAAAACTGTTTTTAAATTGATAGTTGATTATAATTCTGAAACATTAAACTTTGCATCGGATAAATTTTCATCTTGTTATTCTATGGCTTCTCATTAGATTGTTTTTTGTTTTGTTTTTTTTTTCCATAGACCCTTAATCCTCATACATTCACATCAGTGCGCATATTCGCCACACTGAGGTCCATACATAGTGTGCGAAGGAAAGCAGGGGATTAGTGAAGAGGACTTTGCCTGTTTTTTGCCGAATAAGTGATACATGTGAGAGTGATCATCTGATTAAGGAAGAAAATTTCTGAAATTTCTTCGCGTGGTTTCTAGCCACGTTTCCCGCAAGAGGGTTCGTTTCAAACGTTTAATGGTCTATCATAGGAGGGGATACTCTCATCGTAAAGGAGGCTGGAATAGGCTTCACGTTAGGTATTTCGTTAGCCTACCAAGGTTATTCATTACTCGATTAAACTCAGTTATTACAAATTATTCCACGAGTCTGCGTTGGATATGAGATGATAGACAGCTAACGGGGCCTGTAGGGCTGAGTTGGCGTTAATCATGTCATATCCGAAAAGCGCGAGTGAATAATTTTTATTCAAAAAACTCCCTAAAATATAGATAAATCATCCCAAATTTAATTTGTCACAACAAACAGGATGTTTTGATGTATAAAAACGCTTCTGTTGTAACTCCTCTTCATGCGCGCGCATGGTATAGCGGCTCATAACTCATACTGGCTAACCCCCCAAATAATGACCCATAACCCCAAAATAAATTTTGAGTTGCATTATCCAATGATCTAGCTTTTGATGAAAGCAGATGGTCCAGCTATCATTTCAGCTGACACAATACACATCTTTCCAAGGATTTCAAGTATTTGATAAGTACACTTTATTCAGATTCTTCGCCCTTACTCTATCCAATTACAGAATCAAAAAAAAAAAAATTTAAGTTATCATTGAGTAAATACATCTTTGATGCAATGTCCTTACACTACCCCGTATTGTATCTGTGATTCATTTTGCATAGCTGTTTCTTTTGTTGTTGTGCGTCACTTGAAGGGTAAGTTTAGCTCTTTTTGTAACATCTAAGGTTTGCTGCAAACGGTTTCCTCTATTCTTTTGTAACATGCATGATTGAAAAGCGAGCTAAATCGAAAGAATTCTATCACCAAAAAGGTACTTATTTACCGTTTTGCTTGTTATCATCATTGCCGAACAACGACTTAATAAACTCCCCCATACCAAATGCCTCTTGCAGCCTCTCTTCATCCTCCTTTACATTGTGTAGGTTAAAATCTAAAATAGACACAAATATGTTTATAAGAAGAACTGCAAGGGCGATCATAAAACTAGCGGTAAAAAGGTTACCTAGCACTCTATTGACATCGTCAAGTTCAGCAACATGAATAGTGTTACCCAGTGCTAACTCAAACTCTGAGGCAAATGAACGAATGAATGATGAAAATGAAAACACTGAATCACCAAAAACCAGGAAAGCAAACTGGCCATGTGCAATAAACAGTATTCCAAAGAGAAAGCTGAATGATAAAATGTCGTTTTTCGCAGTAATTACTGTCCAAGCCAGTATTTGTACATGCGGACTAAGGCGAATAAAATGGAGAATTTTGAATGTGGCAATAAACAAAGCAAATGCTAGGGCAACATTTTCCATGTCAGTCCAAAAAATGGCAAACTGGAAGCTCACCGTGAGAAAAGGATTCCTTCGCAATTCTTTTATACTATCATGCATAAACTTTGCCTTTAGGACATAAAACACAATTGCTAGCGAGGCATTCATAATTTGAGCGATGTCTATCCAGTTCCACATTTTTTTGAAAAATGTACATCCCTCGCGACATAGTCGGATTAAAAGAATAGATATATACACTAACACTGCCAGCATAAACAACAATTGACACATTAGATAAAAGCTACTGGACGTAGACTGAAAATTGAACATTTTTATGGTGTCAATTTTTTCATAAGTAAGTCCAAATCCGAAAGGTAGAACCTCATAATAATAAGTAATAATGCTCATTAAGTCAGTATTTAAGTTCAAGACTTGAAATTCGAGAAGAATTGCCCTTGTTCTCCTGTCAATCCAATCCTTGTCTTTGACGCCTTCCATCATGCGGATAGCAGTCGGTTTGTCGTATCCTAAATCAAGAACGTATCCCCCACCGCCATATATGTGATGCTGGGCCCAGGATGGAAAGTTATTGAGCTCCTCTGCAGTTGAATATCGCCACGGTCTGGGACAAAGTTGTGATAGATTTTTCCATTTAATCTGTGAATCTGATAAATAAATCCAGTGGGGAAGATATAGACGAGTTGTATCTTCTTCTAGGGTCGAGTAGAAATCGTAGCACTTGTCAATAATCGTCTCAACCTCCTCGGCGGCTTGGCAAGAATCTTAATTGAAACAAAGGTCCATTGAGATAATATCTCAGTGGTACATACATAATAATTCTGGAAGGGGTTTGCGACGAGCTTACTGATAGGATCCAGTATCGCCGAGCACCCGCTTGGTTAATGAGGGGGCGAGGGCAAAAGGATAGAACCTTACCTTCCTTTATTCGAAGCTGCCGGAGTCGAGGCATTCCAATAAGCATGGAAACTTTATTACCAATGTATTCTGGCGTTTGCTCAACCTGACCATTGTACCACTCACCGGCATACGCGTCATTGACAAATTTACCCAGCATGTAAGTCCACATCTTTTCTCCTGTGTTGACCTAGAATTGTAACTCGACATTTTAAAAGCAACCTCGATTAACAGTATAGTGCAAAGAAAACATTTCCTAAAAGCATCCTAGCAAGAGATCACTTTTTTCCGTTTTAATGACGCTATAGTACCAGCAAGGTGGAAAGTAGACAAAAACCTGATCAGAGAAAATTGATCTATTATCTAACCACTCAGCTCGTACACATACCTTGTAAAAAAAGGTGAATCCATCCCGAGTGCCTTTGGTCAATAGATATCTGTGGTGATCCTTGTCTCCATAGGCGACAATCATCAACAAAAGATAGAAAACCATAAATGCGACAAACTGACGAGCAAGTCCGAAGAACTTTTCCTTTCTTAATTCATAGGCGCGTAGCTCTTTCATCTCCTCGGTGAAAGACGATTTATATCTATCACCTTTCTTGGTGTTTAGTTTTGGTCTCTTGAAAATTAGAATCAATAAGACTGTAAAGGTGAGAACCTTTGCGGGTTGCCAAAAAAAGATGTCCTGGACACAGGAGGCAACTACGGAAGCCAGCCACATGTTGGCAGTTTGTTTGCCCCATTGAAGGCTGTAAAATACTGTTATGGTCGCGGATACAAATATCACCGATAAACAAAGAAACCAAGCGATGTATAAAAATGAATAAGGGAGACTACACCATCTTGATCTCGTTGCAGCAGTACGCTCTACGTTAAAGCTCTCTTCTATATCGCCAATGAGTCTCTGTTTTTGTCTTTTTATCTTTCGGTATCGAAAGGCTCCAGTTATTATTAGGCTTAGTGGGGCAATAATCAATGAACTCTTAATACCAATAATCAGCCGGCGTAATGACATCTGTAAAGGACCGATCTGAATTGGCTCATCGGGAACTCTATTCACTTGATAAAACATGGCGTTACAAACCATTGCCAGACATAGTAAACCAAGGCAGCAAGAGGCTCTTTGGACGCGGGAGAATTGATTGCGTAATGGTCTGGTTATCACAGAGGCCCATAAATGATGTTCTGCAAGGTCGACTGAAGAAACAGAATAAAACAGTGTTTTAAAACTGCGAGTCTCTTTGCCTGGATCAGCGGACTTTATTGTTGCTTTTAAAGATCCACTTCCCTTGTGCAAACAAAGCCAACTGTGGTGGAAGAAGTCCCATCTCTGATCATTATTTATATCGACAAGGTGAGCTTGATCTAGAAACCAGGAGGAGTTCTTTCCAGAGTTGTCGTGCCACAATTCTATCTTAACTACAACTCCGAGTGAATTTTCAAGATGGAAGACAAACTTTTCGATGTTGCCTCTTGCAAACATTTTTCTTCCTGGCGGTGAATTCGCGGTCAAATTCACAGACTCTAGAATGCCTTCAGTGCCGTAGATTTTAACGAACACATTGGAAGTAGTCCCAGCATTTCGCCAAACTCCCGTTACTACGGTGAACTCGTACATATACGTGCCATTTTCATTCGGTTTCACATGAACAGTTGGTCCCAGCTGCCAAGGAAACAACAAATCACGAAGTAAAGGAATGGGAGGTAGATAAGCACGTAGGCGGGTTACTTAAACAATATTCAACAACTCGAGGTCAATTAGTGAGAGAATTGTTTACTTGATCTCAAACTTTTTTTTTCGCCGTATCCGTTCCTTTATATACGAGAAAATGAAGCTTAAAAGCAGCAATCAGCACATATTCATTCATTACTTATCGCCTTGGAGTACAGAGGTGGGGGGGAGGAGGGAGTGGGGGCAACGGAGGACTTTGGTTGTGTCGCGGCAAACTTTTCCTGATCTTGCCTTAAGGCTCTGTATTATTCTTGTGATCTCAATGGCAAATAAGTGGCAGCAAGTGTTCTATGGTTTTCCCCTCCTTTTAATGATGAAAAAATAAAACAAACCTTTCTTTCGTCTTTCACATCAGCTCTCCTTGCCCATATAATCATCAAAACGAAGACGCCAAAAATAGAAGAGACAGTTGCAAGAACCACGTAATTTTCTGTTTCTTCGAGTCTAGTAAACTCGTTCAAAACTTTGTTGAAGTCGATAGGATTTGGTGCAAAGACGAAACCACCTCCAAAGCCTGTGAGATGATTACATCTACAATGAAGTAGATGATCATTTGTTTCATCTCCAACCTAAATTAGATAAAAGATGTAAAGATTTAGCTTATCATTTCATAAAATTTTATTGCCTTTGCTCAAAAGTATCGGTGAGGGGATTCTTATAGGAGAATTAATCAATAATCATTCCATAAATAAAAAACAAAACAAAACAAAAAAAACTAAGCACGACTCTCATAAGATAGGTTAGAAGTTAAACGTGCAGTGAATAACTGTTTTATTGTGACACAGCATATAAAATTAATGGGGAATGAATGAACTTATTCTTTACTCTTCAACTGACCTTACAGCCATCTTTACTCCACTTGCCTTGGGTTAAAGCAAAATAGTAACAACTATATTTCCGAACTTTTATAGTATAGTTCTCATCAGTAAAAGGATTATAAATCAAAGTTTTATTGTACTCTATTCCTTTCACTGGAGGTGGCTTTGGCTCAACGCAGTCCCTTCTGTGTCTCCTTTTTCCGTTGCATGATCGTCTTGTTCGAGTGTGATTTAACTGGTCGTGACTACGTTCAACGTACAGAACCCCGACGTAATACAAACCAGTTTGTTTAAAATGTCCAGTGGACATGACCTGGTATGGACTTCTTAAGCATCTTGACAACCAATTGCCACTAATTCTGTCCCAACTGCACGACGAAAAGTCCGGTACGTTGGACATATGGCTGTAATTGTTAACGGTTGGACGCTCCCCGAGTTTAACAAACACTGTCATTGAAAGACTCTCATTGACAGGTTGAACTTCAAGAATGATGGAATCGGAATTTTCTTCAAGTTCAACGATGTGGTATCTCATATTTTGTGGTCTGACAAAGTAGTTATTATCATATGAGCTGTTTCCAGGAGGATTTAGTGGTATTTTAATGTCAATGTCAACGTCTTCTCCACCAACAGGTAATACACCCTTACCGTTGGTAAACTCGAGACTAAGAACTTCTGACATGACTTTATGATAGCTTTCGTGCCAGCGGTATGGATTGAAACTTGTTTTTAACATCTGCAGGAAGAAATAGGGAAGATTTGCTAAAACACACGAACTTAAACTTAATTAAATATAACCGATTGACCGATTGATTAATTAGAATTTAAGATTTATATCGGAATGTCAACACTTCATTTTACTGTCTCTTTCAATAAGTTATCTCCCGTTGTTGCATGCGATACCTGATACTCAGCCCACTCCACACTTTCATTTGCAAAAGCGCGATTCATATTTCGAGGAAGACGAAAGCTGTCTTTTTCGGTCAAGTTCAAACTTCTTTCTTGAAGTCCACATGATGACTCCCGGCCAACTAAGATACTCATGCCAGGCACTCGTAACGTCTTTGGGGACTGAGAAACTGCTGATCTCACCGCCACAGTTGTAAGCAATGTTCTTGTTATGTCCATAGACTTTAAAACGTTATCTTTAGCCTAAAAAATATTCAAGAAAACAGACTGATATTCA